TATATGATCACATCTATAAGAATACATACATATGTAAAATAGCATGTATCAAGTTTCAAAGAATGAACACCAAATGATTCTGTTTTCAGGAAATGCAGTAGTCTTGGTGGAGGCATGGAATGGGAGTTATGTGAAGTAAGACTTAAAATTGTTATTCTACATACTTTTCTACTGTTGGAAATTTTTGAATGTACGTATATGTTCACTTATGGCTTGTGTAATACTGAAAACTATTTTTTTTGAGTTGGAGTCTCACTCCATTGCCCAGGGTGGAGTACAGCAGCACACTCACGGTCACTCCATCATCGAGCTGCTAGGCTCTGGTAATCCTTTTGCCTCAGCCTTCCAAGTAACTGAAACTACAGTGCACACGACCACACCTGGCTAATTTTTTATTTATTGTAGAGACGAGGTCTCACCAAGTTGCCTGGGCTAGTCTCGAACCCGTGGGTTCAGGCAGTCCACTTTCCTTGGCCTCCCAAAGTGTTGGGATTATAGACTGAGTCACTGAGTCTGGCCAAAACTATTTTTAAAAACAACAAAATGTATGGAAGTCATCTAATGAAGTGTTTGCATATAGTGTTAACAGTAGTCAAAACCAAGTAGAAAAGATTTGAAAATCTTCCAAAGTCACACAGAAACAGATCTAGGTGACACCCCCAATGTTACCCAGCAATGTTTTTGAAGAATATGCAGCTTCACAGAGCCCCCGTACCATCTATTTCCATCCCTCCCCCCACACTTTAGATTCCTTTCCATTTGCTTGGAGCATTAGCTATAAATTTAATTTTAAAACAAAACATATTTAATCACTGTACCCTGGAATTTAAGAGTCAGGGAGTATCTTCAGCTGCAAATAGAGCCCATCCTTGGGTTTGAGGACAATATGGTTTGAGAAGGTAGGAGGCCTGATGGGGTCTGGAGTCAGTTTGAAGTGGAGCAGAATCAAGGCAATGGCCACCTTTAACTCAACCATGGCAAACTGCTGCCCGATGCAGTTCCTGCAGACACCGAGGGAAAGTGATAACCAAGAAATACTTATTTTGACTTCTAATAAAACACTAGAATAATAAGTATGAAGAATACAGGAAAGCAACATTTTTACACTAAATGCCATTGAAACTTTTGGGCTTTGGACTTCCATTGCTGCCCACAAGAATGTGAACTGGGAGGTTCCAGTGTGATACCCATCCCATAACAAGACGACAGTTGGAGTTACTCAGAAAATTGTTTCTCCTGCATTGAGCCTAGACTGCATTGAACCTCTGAGCAACAGCTTATAACATGGAAAAACTTTCTGAGGTAAGGATACATAGGATGTGATAGAGAATGGGGCTGTGCTTTGTGAAACTAATGGACCCTTTAGGGGCTCAAAATAGGCACCTAGGTCTACCTCATGGCCAAGATGGGGTCCCATGGAAGAATTCCATGGAGGAGTTAAAAGGAGTAAGCTATTCCCAAGTAAACATTTGTATGTATTTTCAGCAACTTCAAATTGTCCTCACCTTGGTCCAGCTGAGAATGGTAAGTAGGCATGGGAATGTCTCTGATCCGAATTCTCCTGAGAGAACCTCAAGGGGTCAAAGACCTGAAATAAGAGGATATCCTCATCGCCATCCCCAAAACAACATTGCACATTTCTTAAACTACTAGTTAGTACGGTGAAGAAACATGTGAAACATATTTTTAAAAGGTAAAGTTAATTTCAATAATAGAATTTATTTAACCAACAATTATAATTTCAACCTGTATTCAATGTAACGAATTATCAAGGAAGTGTTTCATATTTTTAGGGGGGGCACTGTGTCCTCAAAATCCAGGGTGTGTTTAACACATATAGCACATTTCAATTCCAACTAGCCATGTTTTACGTGCTGATAGCTACTTGTGGCTCATTTTACTACACTGGGCTGTGTTTCTGCAGACCTGCTGACCTTGTCTAGCTTCCCAACTGGCTTGTCTGCTACTCAGATGAGGGGGAAGCAAAATTACAACGGCAAGTGGTGTTATTTTCACTTTGGAGATAAGAATGCACGCACTTAGAAGTCAAACCAAAGGGATTATGTGGTTGGTTGTTACTGAGATGTGTAGTCCAGCTTCCCATTACAGGTAATAGGCCTTAAACCCTAGTGGCTTATGGGAACAAAAGTCCCAGTACATGCTGTGAGTGCTTTGAGAACATAGAGAGATTCTGCTTTTGTTTTGCCTTTTATTTTTGTTTGCTCTGTTTCACTTGTCTGAACTATATCACCACATCCACGCTTAGCCACCAAAAAGTGATTTGCAGAACATTCGTTCTTTGAAGTATTTATGTATAAGAGAGTAGTACTACCTTTGGGTTTTTCCAGACAGCAGGATTATGATGAAGACCCCAAATACTGAGAACCACAGTCATTCCTGAGAAAGGAAAATAAAAGAGATCAGAGAAGAAAGAGCAAGTTGTGAGCTTCTGTTACACTACTCTTCAGCAGGACTTTTCATTTTGAAGGGACAAGCTAGCTCCTGGCAGGGCTCTGTGTGTTGTAGCTGATGCCACCAGTGAGCAACACATGGAAGGATGAGGCTTGGTTTGGCACCTTAGTTTTCAAAGCAGTAATTTACTTAATTCATGATTCTCTCTTAAGGAGCTGTTGATATCATATCAAAGTGACAAACTATGCTTATGTTTTTTGCTATGTTGGGAATTTCTTAAACATCTGTTAATAGGCTATTAAGCACCCCCTGGAGACAGTGTGGGTACATAAGAACTGAACTGTGAGTCTATCATGCAAATCCAGAGACAAATGTCTGTTGGTGCTGCCTGTACATGAAAGGTGGGAAATTTTGGTAAATACCCATGTAGCTCAGGGATAAACAAAATAAAAGACAAAGGAGAAAGAATTTGAGGATTATTTGGTTGCCAGAAATAATCCTGGTAAATTAATTCTGAATCTGTCAACAAAATTTCAGTGACAGGCAATAGGTGTTTGTTACAAACAATCCTGTTGGCTTGTTTTCTAAGGCATGGATTAATAGAAAACTAAAGCAGATAAGTGAAAAGGTGTCTCACAGGACCCCTCCGCAAGCCCTGCTCAGAAATCTGTGTTGTTCTGAAGAGCACCAGACTCCAGACTCAGGGCATCTGCAAGAGTTCTTGTCCTGCTCATATCGGTTAACTCCATCTGCACATGGGGTTTCCCTAGTGGATTTTTGGCTGTGTAAAAAGTTTTAAAAAGTGTTTAGTAAACTGCAAATCACTGCATAAGTGTCTCATTTTCTGAGGGGAAAATGAGATAATATGTTTAAGGGCTCTATGTACACTATTAAATATTGTACATTTATAAGGGTGATATTATGATACTATTACCAAAGGCCCCTCTTGGTCTCTCAGGCAAAGATAATGGTGCTCATATGCCATGAAGTTTAATCTGGGTCTCAAACTCAGCCCAACAAAAATTATTTTAGAAACAATGCCTTGCAGTGGGAGAAACCTGGGATGAGATTCCAGAGACATGGGTTCTTTATTAGTTAGGCAACAACTGTATATGTGCCTTTGGGAGAGTCACTGAAATTCACATTTGATCACAGCATTATCTTCTGCACTCACAGTAGGTGTCTAACCCCCAACTAGATGTCTTCAGGATTATCTTTTGACTTCTTCAAGTGCTAAGATGCCCACCAGTCTTTGTCATTGTGGTCCCCAATGTCCCTCAGACTCTAGGAACTGCATATGAAAAGAATGTAAAGACCTGCAGGCAATGAGCATCCATCTGGGAAAGTAAGGGGCTTGCTGAGTTCTCTGGAAATGGATGAGATTGTAGGAATCAATCGGAATGTCTCCTTGATGCACATTGTGGTATATGACATCTCACCCAGCTGGTCCCTGTGAGAATGAAGGAGGGAGGAAAGGGACTCAGATACCATATCCAGTTTGTAAATATTGAATTTTTTCTTTATGATGGTTTGTTCATGGTAATTATTACTTTTGAGTTAAAGCTATTTTGCCATTGTTTTATGTAACAGAACGTTCTATTATGAAAACAAATGTAACAGAATTGGTTAATGTAACAGAAACAGAATGGGACTCTTTCTACCTCTGGGATCAGCAAAGATCCCAAAGGCAGAGGAACCAAACATCTGCCAAATATCCTTCTTATAAAGTGAGCTGCTAAACTACCAGTAAAACATTTGCCAAGATTTCTGACAACATTTTTGCAACCCGTAGCTCTTTATATAAACTAAGAATGTATAAGAAATGGGTAAGATGGAAGAGAAGAGGCTTAAGAATTTTGGAGAAAAAAAGTCCTTTAAAGAGAATTGCTGGAATGCTGGAGTGCCATGGAGAATGGAGTAGGGTGCTCTTCACATTTGTTAAACAATGGGAGGCTTCGAGAGGATCATCTAGATGATCTGACCTGTGCTTCTTGAAGTTTGAGGAGTACAGAACTGATGTGAAAAGCTGCAACTTAAAACAGAGAAGTAGGGGAGAGCAGCAGGAGCAAGGCCAGGATGTCCTAGTATGTCCTACAGAAAAAGACTCTGCCTGAGGCCTTCTCAGGCCCCCTGAATCACTACTGGAGAATTCCGGTGAGGGAGTCTCCAAGTAACCCACTCATGCACCTCTGGAGAGGAAGGGAAGCACTGAACATCCATCAAGTCCTTGGGCATGATCACAACAGCATTAGTCTCTCTTTCCTTATCCCCTCTTCTGGATCTTCCAACAATTCTCTTCAGTTTCATGTCTGGAAAGGTCAGAAACAGCTGCTACTGGGTATAGAAGAAGATGGTCAGTAAGAATTAGCCAGTCACAAATCCCTCACCCACTGTTGGCTTTCAAATCCAAAGAAGTTCCATGCTGGGATGGAGAGAAAAGTTCCAAGTGGATATGTATTTGAAGGTTTTATTATTACACTGGCCCTGATAGTTTAATTACTGACATGAGATTGTTTTTGTTATTTGAATGAATAAGAACTCTATGAGACCTCCTCCATGAGGATTTTGTTCCAAAGATTAAAAAAAAAACTTGCCCCACAGAGTTAGTCTGAAGTGCCAATGGGAGAAGAATACAGTTGCTTTTTTATTTGCATCCTAGCTAGTCATATTGGTTCAATAAAATGACTGCATATGCACTTATTGTATTTTTATGTGCTTTTCTGATTATTTATTTTGAAAGCAGGCTTTGGCCATTAGGTAATGTGAAATTTTAACTTTGAACTCTTTCCTCCTCAAGCTCAGGACAAAAAAAGAGTACTTTCTGCTGCCCCTGGCACTTTGCATAATTAAAAACACAATTTTGTCCATCTTAATCATGGAGCAAAAAGAAGAGAGAAAATTTAACCCAACACAGAAATAGGATGCCAAGGAGCCAAATGGAAAAACCGAGCAACTTTCTAACTTTCTCTGAAATTGCTCTTAATACTGTGGTTTTATTACATGTCTAGAAGAATTATAAATTCTCAGAATGCAAATTTTGTTAAATACAGCTACAAGTACCTATTATAGAATAAAAATACTTTATTCTCTAAAATATTATTGCCATTTATCTCATTAAAATAAAATATAGTTAACAGATGCTCTGGACTTTTTTTAAATCTGGAAAACACTTCCTTATAATTTTCTCATTTAAGCCAAACAAGAATAAGAAGTCAGTATTTGAGATATATAAATATCCACTCTAATCAAGGTTAAACTATCTAATTCATGTTGACAGGTGACATACAATGTTTCCAAATTTAATGAATGAATAAAAATGATTACACAGCAAGATGGGAGAGTATAGGAGGTCCCTCACTTAGATCCCATACAACAACAATTTAATAGCCATCCACAGACAAAAATGCCTTTGTGGAAGCCTTGGGATTCAGTAGCAGTGTGTAAAACTCCAGTGGAACCCAAGACATAGGAGAGTTATTTTGAGAGGGCAGACTTTTACCTAGATGGAAGACACACCAACTGTGGTCCCAGTTCAGATCCTAAATTGGCTCTGCCCCCTTGCAGGCTTACCTACAGCCCTGCTTAGACTAGATCTTAATACCAAAAGCATTGATCAAGGGGCTCAGGAGAAATCAAGCACACCAGTGCCTTGGGAGACAGGCCTGCCTACATTGGGCTTATCTGTGTACCCAGAAATGCCCCTGTAACTCAGCTGCAGCTCCTCTCAGCTATGGTCTGAGATAAGTTCTGCTTGCACATGACCCAGAAGTAGACATATCTCCTCGAGTAACTATGATAGGCTTACCAACCTTGGCCCCACTTAATCTTGGCCCTGACTCTACCAAGCTATGGTCTAAGAGCAGGTCTACCTGGCCAGGAGGCTACTAGGAGATACATCTGTCTGTGCCCCTGGGGCAGATTTGCCAACCTTGGTCCCAAAGTAGAGCCTGAAACAGCCCTGAGAAACAGCTCCAGCCCCTCTCATCTGTGGCCTGAGAGTGGTCCTGGAACCTGTGGAGAGACATACCCATCAGTACCCCTGCAGGCTAATTCATTGACCTCAGGGGGACTTTGGCAAATACAATGACAGAACTGAAAAGTTCAATAAAGAGCTTAAACAGAAGACTTGATCATGAAGAAGAAATAATCAATGAACTCAAGATAGAACATCTGAAATTAGCCAATTAGAGGACCAAAATGACAAAAGAATTTTTAAAAACCTGAAAAAAGCATAAGGGATATATGGGACATCATCAAATATACAAATTATAGGAATTTCAGAAAGAGAAGAGATAGAGAAAGGTACAAAAGATTATTTTAAAAAAATACTAGCTGAAAATGTCCCAAAAATTGGGAGACATATGAACATTCAGATTAATTAAGCTCAAAAGACTTTGTGCAAGAGAAACTCAAAGAAAAATAAACTAAGGTATATGATAATCAAGTTATCAGAAGACAAAGAGATAATCTTGAAAGCAATAAGAGAGAAGACTCATCACATACAAAGAGACCACCATAAGGCTATGAGCAGACTTCTCAACAGGAACTTTATAAGCCAGGAGGGAATGGGAAGATACATTCAAAGTGTTGAGGAAAAAACTAGCAACCAAGAATACTATACCTGGCGATGTTATCTTTCAAAATTAAGAAGAAATAAAGATATTTCCAGACAAACAAAGGTTAATGGTGTTCATCATTACTAGACTTGCCTTGCAAGAAATGCTAATGGGAGTCCTTCAAGTTGAAATGAAAGGATGCTAACTAACAATATGAAAATTGAAAGTGAAAACCTCATTGATAAAGGTAAATACATAGTCAAATTCAGAATACTCTAATAATGTAGTGGTGGTGTCTAAATCATTTATATATTTAGTATAAAGGTTAAATGGCAAAACTATTAAAATAACTATAGCTTTAATAATTTTTTATGGAGTATACAGTATTAAAAAATGTAAATTATAACTATGGCATTAGTGACATAAAATGGGGTAGTGGAATAAAAGTGTATTTTTTTAAGTGATGAAAGTTAAGTTATTATCAGTTTAAAATAGCCTGTTATAACTATACTTTATGTAAGTTTCATAGTGTCCACAAAGAACAAACTTATAGTAGGTACACCATAGAAAAAAGGAAGAGTCAAAGCATACTACTATAGAAAACCTCCTAATCACAAAGGAAAACAACAAGAAAGGAAGAAAGGAACAAAAGAAAATCTACAAAACACGAAAACAGTACTAAAATGGCAACAGTAAGTCCTTATCTATTAATAATTACCTTGAATATAAATGAATTAAATTGTTCAACCAATAGACATAGAAAAGCTGAATGAATAAAAAAATAAGATCCAACTATATATTGCCTACAGACCTTCATTTCTCTCTTAAGGGCACACACAGACTGATAGTGAAGGGATGGAAAAAGATATTCCATACAAACAGAAACCAAAAGGGAGTAGCGAGAGTACTTATATCACAAAAAAATAGACTTTAAGTCAAAAACTGTATAAAGAGACAAGAAGAGCATTATGTAATGATAAAATGGTCAACTCATCAGGAGACTATAAAGTGTAAATACATATGCACCCAACATGAAAACACCAAAATATGTAAAGAAAATATTAACAAAGCTGAAGGGAGAGACAGATAGTAATACACAGTAATACATTAACAGCAGGAGACTTCAGTGCCCTACTTTCAACAATGGATAGAACATCCAGACAGAAAATCAATAAGGAAACATTAAACTTGAACTGCATATTAGAACAAATGGACTTTACGGACATTTACAGAACATTCTCTCCAACAGAAGCAGAATACACATTCTTTTCAAGTACACATAGAACATTCTTCAGAACAGATTATATGTGAGGCCACAAAACAATTCTTAATAAATTTAAGAAGATTGAAATCATATCAAGTATCTTTTCTGACCACAATGGTATGGATCTAGAAATCAAAAATAGGAGTAAATGTTGAAAATTCACAAATATGTGGAAATTAAACAACCTACTCTTGAACAACCAATGGGTCAAAGAAGAAATCAAAATGTAAATAAAAAATATTGAGGTAAGTGAAAATGGAAACAGCATACCAAAATTGATGGGATACAGCAAAAGCAGTTCTAAAAGGGATATTTATAGCAATAAATGCCTACATTAAAAAAAGATCTTAAATACTCAGACCTCAAGAAACTATAAAAAAGAACAAACTAAGCCTAAAATTATTACAAGAAAGAAAATAATAAAGATCAGAACAGAAATAAATGAAATAGAAACCAAAAGAATAGAAAAAAGTAAAACTAAATAATAAATAAATAAAACAAAAAAAATAGAAAAAATAAATAAAACTTTTTAAAAAGATAAACAAAATTGACAAGCCTTTAGCTAGGGTAAGAAAAAAAAGATTCAAATACTGAAAATAAAATCAGAAATGAAAGAGAAGACATTGCAACTGATATTACAGAAATACAAAGGATCATAAGAGACAACTATGAACAATTATGTAACAACACATTGGACAACCTAATAGAAATGGATAAATTCCTAGCAACATACAACCTACGAAGACTGAATTATGAAGAGAAAGAAAATCTGAATAGACCAATAACAAGTAAGGAGGCAGAATCAGTAATCAAAAACATCACATCTTACTAAAGTCCAGGACCCAATGGCTTCACAGCTGAATTCTAAACATTTAAAGAAGAATCAACACTAACCCTTTTCAAATTCTTCCAAAAAATTGAAGAGGAGGGACTATTTTCAAACTCGTTTTACAAGGTGAGATTACTCTGAAACCAAAGTCAGACAGGGACACTTCAAGAAAAATTACAAGCCAGTATCTCTGACGAACATGGATGCAAAAATGGTCAACAAAATACTAGCAAACCTAATTCAGCAGTGCATTGAAAGTTTCTTTCACTAAGATCAGTGGTACTTATCCCTGGGATAGAAGGATGTTTCAACACATGTAAATTAACAAACGTGTTATACTACATTGAAAAAGTGAAGAATAGACCCCATATGGTCATATTAATAAATGTGGAAAAAGCATTTGACAAAATTTGACTTTTTATGATAAAAATTCTCAGCAAATTAGTTATAGAAAGAATGTACTGCAACACAATAAAAGCCATATATGACAGACTCACAGCTAACATCATACTCATGTTTTATCTCTATATATAATATATTTAGCTTTAGATAAGAAGAATATCTTGTCATTTGTGACAACATGGACAAACCCAGTGGACATTATGTTAAGTGAAATAAGGTGTGCACAGAAAGACAAATACCATATTATCTCACTTATATGTGGAATCTAAAAAACTGAACTCATAGAAGCAGAGTTCAGAATGGTAGTTACCGAGGCTGAGGGATAATGGAGACTGGGGAGATGTTAGTTAAAAGATACAACATTTCAGTTACATAGGAAGAATATTTAGGAGATGTACTGCAAAATATGCAATTAAAGTTAATAACTTATATACTTAAAAATTGCTAAGAGAGTAGATTTTAAATGTTTTCACCATAAAAATGGTAAGTATGAGTTAATGGACATGTCCATTGACTGATTCAGTCATTCCACAATGCATACATATATCAAAACACCATGTTGTATACCATACACAAACACACACACACACACACACACACACACACACACAATTTTTGTCAGTTAAAAATTTTTAAATAAAAAATGATTACTCAAGATTGTATTTTGCACTATATAAGTTAAACCATTAATTTTTTTTTTTTTTTTTTGAGTTGGAGTCTCACTTGGTCGCCCAGACTGGAGTGCAGTGGCTGCTCCCGGCCACCGCAGCCTCGAACTGCTGGGCTCCGGCGATCCTTCCGCCTCAGCCTTTCAAGTAGCCGGAATTACAGGCATGCGCTACCACGCCCCGGCTGATTTTTTTATTTATTGTAGAGATGAGGTCTCGCTGCCCAGGCGGGTCTCGAACCCGCAGGCTCAGGCAATCTGCTCACCACAGCCTCCCAAAGGCACGGGATTACAGGCTGAGCCACCAAGCCTGGCAAACCGTTAATTTATGATAGGAAATGACTTTTATTTTTAAATAAAAACTATACCTCTATAATTTCACATTTTGCTTTACTAATATTCTAGTAAATTTTTTTCTGAATATTCAGGCTGAGTTGCCCTTAGCATTTCTATCTTTGACTAGCTAGAGTGAAGGGTGGGATTTATGTCAGGGACATGTTTTATCTTTGCAAAAAGCATGTCTGAAAGGGCAAATCCATAGCCTTGGCTTTATTAGCAGTAAAATATGCTTAAAGTCTAGCAAAATAGAGTTGAAGCTTTCAACCTGGTTATCTCCAATTTATCTTATAAGGGGAAGCTTAAGTGTTTGATACCCAAGGAAGTCTTCTTGAGCTCCCTTTGCCAGGTTAGGTTCTTGTATTCTATGTCTCTTTGTCAGCCAGCCCACAATGCTATCATTGCCCTTACTGTGCTATAATGCAATTTTCTGCATGGAGGTCTGTCTTCTGTATTAACTGTGAGTTCATTGAGGGCAGGACCCACCTCAAATCTTAGTGATTTTTTTTAGTGTCACACTACTTAAATTGTCTTCAGTTCATATTTGCTAAACTCAACTACAGTATGTATCACATAACATTATGCCCAAAGTCCAAAATCAGTCCTAAGGAATAAAACTGGTGTCAAGGGGAGGGAGAGGGTGTCTACAATGAGCCTTAAATAACGGAGTTGCTATTCAGCTTTCTCAGAAGAGGAGCCTCTCTTGAACCCTACCATTCAAGCTCTAAGTATAAACCTGGGGACCAATTCCTCATTTCCAAGGTACCAGAGCCCTGGTGAAAGAAAGATCCACTATGGGTTAGAAAGGCAATGACAGATAATTATGAATGAGTAAATTTATTTTGCAAAATACAAGAGGATAATTTGGGAATTTCTTAAGAAAGAACAGGAAAATAGCCTACCTCTTCTGTTTCCACATGCACATGTGAGGGGGATCCCCCAAAAAAACCAGAATTATTTTTTGGAGGGTAGGCTCCTTGTAGTATAGGCATACCCCACTAGGTAAGTGTTCTAGGAATACATTAGCATCAGTGTGCCAGCTAGCATCGTTGTGAGAGACTACGCTCAGCTTCAGTGAATTTTTCTGAAGATTCTTTTAACACATTTGTCCATTTCATGATGGGTGATTTATGAGTGCACCTACCCACATTGAGTGTTCACAGTTTTTGACTACAAATGGCATGGCTCCCATACCCCACCCTTCCTATTCACCCAGTCTTGCCTGAGAAACTATTTTCTATTTCCCCAGACAAAAAAAGTTCTCAGAGGGAAACGTTTGGCTGATGTGGAAAAGGTGAAACAAAAAAATGGCAGAAGCACTAAAATGCATCAAAATTGATGAGTTCAAAAACTGTTTTGAGCAGTAGAAGCTCATTCTGATAGATGAATTGCATCAGAGAATACTTTAAAAGTGACTGACATTTAAATATGTAATAAGTATAATTTTTTATAAACAAATTTCATTTTTTGGTCCCTCCCCCACTTATACATCTCTGTGTTAGCCAGCACACAACACTATCATTGCCCTTACTGTGTATACTACAATTTTATGTATGGAAATCTGTCTTCTGTATTAGGCTGTGAGCTCGTTGAGGGGCCACATCAAATCTTAGTCATTTTTTTAATGCCACAGTACTTAAAATATCCTGAGTCCATATTTGCTAAACTCAATTATAGCATGTATCATTTAACGTTGTGTCCAAAATCCAAAATCAGTCTTGAGGAATAAAATTGGTGACCAGGAGATAGGACAAGATAGGACAGGGTGTCTACAACGAGCTTTAAATAACGGAGTTGCTCATTCAGCTCTCTCAGAAGAGAAGCCCCACTTGAATTCTACCTACCATTCAATCTCTAAGTGCAAGTCTAGGAATCAAGTCCCCATTTCTAAAACATCAGAGCCCAGGTGAGAGAAAGAAATGGGTCATTTTATACAACATGGATTAGAAAAACAATGACAATTTATGGATGAGTACATTTCTTTTGCAAAAGACAAGAGAATAAGTTGGGAATCTCTTAAGAAAGAACAGAAAAGTAGCCTACCTCTTCTGTTTCCACATGCACATATGTTGAGGCACTATGGTCACTAAGGTACCAGAGCAAAAAATAACAAAAAATCCCAGAAGGAAAACTAGGATGAAATATTTAGGGATGCAGCTCTTACCAGTTAATGGAAGACCCGTCCCCCAGGATGCCCCTGATCTCCTCCCGGCATCTCTCCTGATGCTCAGGGTTCAGAGCCAGGCAGTAGAGGAGCCAGGAGAGGCTCGCTGTCATGGTGTTATGCCCTACCAACATGAACATGTTCATTTCGGATTGTACGTCAGTATCTGAGAAGCTGTCTCCATTTTCAGCCTAGAACGTGCAATAGAGATATTTTAATTAAAATGTAAGTTTATAAATGTTCACAGGTACAAGCAAAATAATAATTTTAGGGTTTCAATTTTAATTCAGTTCAACAAATATATAGTATAAGCTACACGTTGCCCAGAGCATAAAGTAGAACCAAGGATAAGAAAAGTAGGCCTTGCAAAAGGGCCACCAGTCATCAGGCCCTAGAAAGTCTCTTGAAACTCTCAGATTTATCTGGATTTTCCAGGACTTCATCAGCATTTTACATGCCTGCTCATGTGGTCATTTCCACATGATTCCCTGAACTCTATATATCTAAATGATAATCCTGTCAAATCTATAATTTAGTCTTTACCGACTCCCTCTAGTTACAGAGCTGCATAATTCTACCTTTATCCCAAACTGCATGAAGCCAACTCATCATTTCAAAGCACTGTTAAATGTAGTCAATCGTTTTTCTTTTGTCTCCCCATGCCATTCTCACTTACCCACCTACCCACAAAATTAACTGGCTATTTGAGCAGGCTCAAAAATCTAGAAGCTTTACCTGGGCAGAAAGAATGATATCCAAAAAATCCTGGCACGTCCTCTTCTGAGTGTTATCCTGTCTCATTCCAGCCTTGAGGCATTTCTTTCTATCTTGGATTATCTTTTCTGGGTAGAATAATAGTTCTCTATTACCAAAATGACAGAAAAGTCAACCAAAATCAAATAAATTATAAAGCAAGTCAGGATTCACGAATAGCTTCACATCTTGCCTGATTTCCAGATATTTAAATACATTTAATTTTCACAGATGGTTTACTTTCCCATTAGATGGACAACTTTTGAACAAAGCTCCAAACACAAAGGATCAAAAATAAAATTTATAGAAATAAGTGTGCATTATAATTAAAATGATATAAAGCTTAGATGCAAGTGATTAATCATTCTTTTGTTCCCTAGTCTAGTACTTATCTTCATGGAAAAGGTATAAAATAAAATGGAATGAAATGGAAAAAAAAAAGCAAAGAAATGCCAACATATGTGTACTTGAAGGGGCTGAAAGGAAAAAAAACTAAAAACATTAAACAGATATAATATTTAAAACCATAATTCAAGAAAACTTTGTAAAAATATGAGAAAATTTAAATCTACATATTAAAGGGCCCAAGTTATGCTGGGAAAAATGGAAACAGAATGACAAATTCCATTATATATCCTAGTAGAACTATTTAACATTAAAGACAGAAAAAAAATTCATAGAGACTCCAAACAAAAAGACCAAATGACTTCCTTTTCTTTTTGAGTTGGAGTCTCACTCTGTTGCCCAGGCTGGAGTGCAGTGGCACACTAATGGCTACCCCAGTGTTGACCTGCTGGGCACCAGCGATCCTTCCACCTCAGCTTTCCAAGTAGCTGGAACTACAGGCCCGTGCTACCATGCTGGCAAATTTTTTTTTATTTGTTGTAGAGACAAAGTTTCTCCAAGTTGCCCAGGCTGGTCTTGAACCTGTGGGCTCAGGCAATCCACTCGCCTTGGCCTCCCAAAGTGCTGGGATGACAGGCTGAGCCACTGAGCCCAGGCCCAAATGACTTTTTTTTCTTTTTTTGTCCTTTACATTATTTTTTAGTTTTAAAGATGTGGGGTAAAATTCAGGCTTTGGTATACAAATGTTCACTGTGCAGAGACCCTTGTTGATGAGGTCCCCACTCCCCAGGCAGATTCCCAATACTGCCAATCCCACTTCCCTGCTCCCCTCCCAGCAGTTTCCCGCTACTGCCAATCCTTTCCTTAAAATATTACGATAATTGTTTAAGGTCTGCTTATGAGTGATAACATGTGATAATCAGTTCTTTGCTTCTGTGAAAGATCACTCAGTATTATAGACTCTAAGGTCATAAAGGTTGCTGTGAAGTTCATGATTTTGTTCTTTATGGCTGCGTAATATTCCATCATGTATATGTACCACATTTTTTAATCCAGTCCTCTTTTAATGGCAGCACAGTTGGTTCCATGTTCTTGCTACTGTGAACAATGCTGTGATACACATATATGTGCAGGTAGCTTTTTTATAGAGTGATTTGAGTTCTTCTGAGTGTATTCCAAGTAGGGGGATTGCAGGGTCATAGGGAAGGTTGATTTTTAGATTTTTTAGGAATCACCACACTGTTTTCCATAGAGGCTGTACAGGTTTACACGCCCACTAACAGTGTAGAAGTTGTCCCTTTTCACTGCATTCTCTCCAGCATCTGTTGTTTTTTGAGTTATTGATGATAGCCATCCTGACTGGAGTTAGGTGGTATCTCAGTGTAGTTCTGTTTTGCATTTCTTTAGTGACTAGTGAGGCTGAGCATTTTTCATGTGTCTGTTGGCAGCTCGTATGTCTTCTTTTGAGAACTGTCCATTCATATCTTTTGCCCACTTTATAATGGGGTTGTTTGTTTTTTTCTTTTCAGAACATTTGAGTTCCTTGTAGATCCTAGATGTTCGGGCTTTGTCAGACATACAGTTAGGAAATACTTTGTTCCAGTCTGTGGGCTCTCCCCACTCTCTTGATGGTTCCTTTGGCTTTGCGGAAGCTTGTCAGTTTGATGAGGTCCCACTTATCTATCTTATCTCTTATGGCAAGGGCACTTGTGGTTTTAATTAGGAATTGGTTGCCAGTTCCAATTTCCATAAGGGTGTCTCCTGCATTTTCTAAGGTTCTTATAGTTTGAGGTTTTACGTTTAGGTCTTTGATTCATTTAGAGTTTATTTTGTGTACGGTGATAGGGATCATGTTTTAATATTCTGCAGGAGGTCAGCCAGCCAAATGACTTTTAAGGGTAAACAAACTGGGCTAACATTGAACTTTCCAAGAACAGTAAAGATATCAAGGCAACATAGAGCATTTTAAAGAAATTCAAGAGGAGGACTTCTGGCAAGATGATGACGGGGCAGCTTGGTCTATGAGACCCTCCATGAAAGAGAACACAAAAGACTCTAGCTCTCTCCCCAGGGGCTGCAGTTCTCATCAGCAGCAGCATGCTCTTCACAGGGAGCTCACCATCACCACCGCTGAAATATCACAGCAGTCTGGGCAGCCGCTGCTGCAGCAGCCATAGCACCGCCCATGTCTGAGGCAACCCATGACTTCAGACCATGAAGACCCTGCAAGCAAGATCTACTGAGATCGCCGCTGCCACTACTCCCACCATCACGTCCGCCAGGCTGTGGGTCTCCTCCCGTGTACTGTAAGGCAGCAGCTCCCATTGCCAACTCCCTCCTGTCTGGGCCAGCAACTGCAGATAAAGATCATCTGGAGTGGTGAGATCGCACCGCCTGCTGGCGATTCAAGGTAACAACACCGAAATGGGAAAAACAGAAGCTTGATAGGCCAGATCTGAGCGGTGAACTGGGTAACGGTGAACTGAGTGGTGATCTGAACCGCCCTTCACAGCAGGCCAGGGGCAACTGATCCTAACTGTGAACAAATTTACCAGCCTGAAAAGAAAGTTAGAAATCAGAGCTGAAAGGACACTGGACTTAAACGAAAAGTCTCAGAGTGTGCTTGCTTGGTTCTGTTAGTTTACTGACTTGATTCTGTTCCTTTTGTTTTGTTCCTTTTTTTCTTTTCTTTTCTCTGTAAACCCTATCTTTGTATAGAGGAATAGCACACCAATAAGGAGGCTGGTTAGCATCATTGTATATTTTAGTTGTTTTTTGTATGAGAGTTGGTTAGTTTGTAGCCGTGGTTTATTGTTTTTATCTGTTTCAGTTTTTGTCTCTCTCTCCATTTGTTGGTACATGCATCTGTTTTACCCCTCACTCCTCTCTCTCTCTCCACCCTCCTCTTCCCCCAAATGTCTGCTCCATTCTCTTCCCTCTGTTAACCTCATTTTATTTCAGGGAGTAAACCTACAAGCCCACTGCATGGAGAGATTCCAAGGCAGTGGGAAGTGGGTTTCAGATTATCCATACACCTGTCGGTGGAGACCAGAATCTACAGATAGATTTTGAATCACAGCTCCCCCTTAAGTAAATCTCAAAACTGCGAAAAGGGCCACCCCCAACCTACAGTCCAACTCCAGAATTGAACAAAGCAAGAGGATATACATAAAGAAGAATAGGAGATTGAGCAAATAGAAGTAAAAGCAACCCCTGCATCCCGGAATAACAGAATTAAAGAAGATGACAAAGTGGATGGAAGGAAAATGTAGGGAGGAAAAATCTGCGAAAATGAACAAAAACCAAAAGAAGAATATAGGTCTCACACAGACCCTTAGGAGGTCAGACACTGAGAAAACAGACTTCAGAACACAAACAATGAAGAGCCCCCAGAATGACTAGTCACATGCAACAAACCCAGACATCAAGACGTTAATAGAGAGAATTTAAAAAATTGAGGAGAGACAAGAGGAAAATAGGAAGGGGCTGATGTCAGAAATAACAGCAGTAAAGAATACTGTGATGGAAATAAATAACAAACTAATAAGCATGGAAAGCAGAATTAGCCAAGCAGAAGAAAGAGTCTCAGAGCTCGAAGATCAAAACACAGAACTAACCCAAACTGTCAAAAACATAGAAAAGAAACTTAAAAAAGTAGAACAATACCTTCAAGAGATGAATGATTACTTCAAGAGAAAAAACCTGAGTAATTGGCCTTCCTGAAGCAGAGAGAGAAACAGAGGCCACACTAGAACAAACAATTCATGAAATCATTCAAGAAAACTTCCCTCATCTCATCAGTGATGCAAAAATTCAACACAAGAGATTCAGAGAACCCCTGCAAGACAACAAATGAGAAGACCAACTCCCAGGCACATAATAATTCGCCTAAACAAAGTAGGTATAAAAGAAAAAATCCTAAAGGCAGCAAGAGAAAAAGGTCAGACTACTTACCAGGGAAAACCAATTAGAATAGCAGCAGATTTATCCACAGAAACCCTTCAGGCTAGGAGAGTTTGGAGCCCTATCTTCAAAGTTCTAAAAGATAAACAATTTCAACCGAGAATAACCTACCCAACTAAGCTAAGCTTCATCAGTGAAGGAAAACTGAAATCTTTCCCAGATATCCAATCCCTAAGAACTTACACTGCCACCAGACCACCTCTACAAGAAACAATTAAGAAAGTACTGAACACAGAAGAAAAGGAAAAAAGAACAACGTTCTTCACAAGAGCGCAGGCAAAAGATTAAAAACACACATGAACCAACTCCAAAACCAAAAGAAAGACAACACACAAACAGGAAGAACAACAACTCTGTAAGAATCTTAGGATAGGGATCAACTCTCACATATCAATAATTAGCTTGAATGTGAATGGACTAAATGCACC